TGTTGACACACTGTGTCACTCGCAACAATATCCATGAAACAGCTTCTCACGTGACATGCACAAATACACGCGAAGCTTGTCCGAAAACACCGTCCACAGTCACAAATCGTAGATTCGAAATAGGAATTCAAGATCACTCGTCGTCACTGTGCGTTGCATGTGCCGCCACAAAGCGCTTAGAGTAAGCAATATAATCGCTCACCCCAGGGTCTGCAACAGTTCGAAGCGCCTTCGCACTCTTCTAAAATGGCGGCGCGACTAGGTTGGTTGCCTTGCCCAAATGAAGAATGTAATAAAAGATGCTCGGTGATGAGCAGATGTGTTTATGTCTATTGATGACAACAGATGTGGAGCAAACTGGGTATGCTGGGATGTTAGTTACCTTTGCTTATTTCGTAGTTGATCCAGTCAAGAATTTCTTACCTTTTCACCTGTCAGCGCCAATCATGTGTTGGCTTCACTTGTTAGTTTCCACCCCTTGTTAGTTTCCACCTTTTGTTATTTTATCGCTTTTGTTGTCCTTAAATGTATATATACATCTCTGCCTCATGGCATTCATTCACCTGATGAAGGAGTAAGCATGTACTCCGAAACGTTGTGTTTCTCATAATAAAGAAGTGGACATCCATAAATTCTCTTCCTTAAGAATTTCTTGTTCCGCTGTCAAACAAAATTTTCAGTCATTTTGGTTTGAGAAAGAAAGCCACCTCAGCCAGCGATTGTATGATTGCAAGTGGATCAATTCCCAGTTGATCCAGTCAAGAATTTCTTGTTCGGCTGTCGAACTCTGCCGATTTTGGTTTGAGAACGAAGCGACCTAAGTCAGCGATTGGTGTGATTACAAGTGACTGAAAGTTAGCGCTACTCTCAAGCGATTGTCTGTTACAACGCACCCGTATCATGACGTTATCACAATACGTAATAATATTACGTCTGATCCGGCGACGAGCACAGCCAGCATTAACTAGGGGAAACTCCTTTAGTTACTATTATTAGTGTAACGAATACACTACAAGTGCGCTATGCAAAGTTTTGTCCATTTCAATGCTAAGGAGTAGAGATGCATTATCAGCACGTCACTGGACTGTAGCTCGACTGAAGATGATTAATCGCATGTTGATTCTTATTTACGTATGACACTTGTTAGCACAACAACCGAGAGCTGAAAATTTTGTTGGATTTAAACATATTTTATTGACATATATGGTCAACGGGATTGGGCAAAAGTTATCCAACTTAAGTGGCCCTTTCCCTTATGTATTTGTAGAGACATTGATTATTAATATGTATATACATACACATACATACATACATACATACATACATACATACATACATACATACATACATACATACATACATACATACATATATAAATACACACATACATATACACATATTCACATACATATGCACATATTACCTTTAAAAGCAACAAAGAGAAATATATTTACATGAGAACATAAACATAATGCTAAACGCTTTTTAAACACTCTCGTATCAGTATCAGATATATATCCGTTACATGTGAACTAAAACCAGGTATTTCCACACATCAGGTGTAAGTCATATGAGTTGTAAACCATTGTATTTTGCCCTTCTTGTGTACGCGTTAAGACTCTGTGTATTTCCGTGTTACTTAACATAGTCAGTCTCACATCTGTCGATTAGGGTTTCTAAGACTATCAGGACAGGACCACCGCGTCTGGGGTGTCTAGATATCGAAAGACGGTGGGTTCGCCTCGTAGAATTCGCCGAAGACCCGGGTTCGATTCCCTACATGGCTAAAATGTGTTAAACCTATTTCTGGTGTCCCTCGCCTTTAAAGTGTTGGAATATTGTTAAAGGCGTCGTAAAACCATACTCATTCACTGTCAGGATATGATAGAATCTTAGTACACCTGTATGCAAGGTCTTATTGAAAGCACCTTTGCTACCTATTCTGTTACTTCAGAGACAATAAAATAGCATTTATTTTATGGTCTCTGGTTCCTTCATTGGTCTTTTCATATAATTTCACCTTCACCGCCATTTTACCTTTTGCCCCCGATTATGTTTCTAAGTTTGTCAGCACCATACCTGTGCTCGTAGGTTTCACCGAAGTGGTAAACGTCTGAGACCTGCATCACGTCGGGCTTTCCTCCCACATTAAGCTGGCACGTCACGATATAACTGGAATACTCTTAAAAGCGGCGTTAAACCCAACTCACCAACTCACTATTTTGTCTTTTGCGCCCAATGGAATCACTACCGGCGGGTATTCGAGATGGGTTATTCTCTGACGCTGACGTTATATATTTCTCTAGTGTATCGGCTGGCTTACAAATAATATTGGAACTTTATCGACTGTATTATATTTATTTAGTGAAATAACACGGATGGTCAAATCCTCTTAAGCGCCACAATTCGCAGTGCAGAGTTGCGTCCCTTGGGCACGCCAGAAACCTATGATTGTGGGTTCGAATCCGGTTTGCCCCGATTATGCTTCTAGGTTTGTCAGCACCCAATCTCATTAAAATCAGATTTGAGTTCTCGCTGTAGCTAAACAAAGATCTGAGGACATCCCATTACGGGTCACGTCAGGACGACCTTTCGCGAACTTTGACCGACCACTGAAACGATTAACAAGAAGTCGATATCAGCCAATTAGAAAGCAGCTTTCTCGAGCTTTATGGCATTCGTTTCAACCTGGCGACTTCCATTTCAGACTACGCTTGAAAAATATGTTGACACAGTTCTCGATTAAAAATTTGAAAACTCAACAAACGAACATTCCGGAATGTCTAATATATGGTTGCGATAGTATGGCAGTGCTTCCCACGTACTGTGCAACGCCTCCTTCGTTCAAATGTGTATCCCACAGAAGCGAGAGATAGATGATATTTTGACGGAAACAGTCGTACGGGCTGTAACTGTCGTTCGGAATACCCCGTTTTAACGTTTTCGAGGTTGCATGATCAGAAAACACACTCCGACTGTCACTTTCATGATCTGGTAAGCGACGCTTTGATTGGTCGGATGAAAGGTCGTTCTGGCGTGACTCTTAATGGGATGTCTTCAGATCTTTGTTTCGCGATAGCAGTTTTCAATGATATCATGACATGGATAACATTCGGAGATCACAACCGTAACCGTAGCGGACGGAGCTGTGCCAATTCCTAAAAATCATCATCACATCAGCTTAAAACAAACACAACAGAACGGGAACGTCATTAACCACCATTTTGTAATGATTTCTGGAGGAATATCTAAGATTTGCATCAATCATATTGGGCATACCCGCATTACGCTGACACGCCGTGATATAACTGGAGAGATTTTCAACACGGCGTTAAACCCATAAATGAACACACCGTTACCATCGACAATATGTCAGTAGCAGCTCTACCATTGATTCAAAGTTTAACATTGAAAATATAATATTGTTTAAAACATGTTCAGTATCATTCAAGATCAATATACTCGGAAAGAACACATTGGTGATAGATAATACATATCCTTTTCTATTGAGACATGTGTTAACCAGCAGTGCGTTATGAATGATTCTGAATTGGAACCATCGTTATTGGACGTCTCTCCTATCAATACAAGGAAACGTTATTTCGTAAATAATTTCCCAACTCCTGTCATAAAATTTATGGTTACGTTTTTTCTTCAAATCTGAGATTATGATTTTTGTGTTCTCTTAAAACATACATCTAATGTTATCTCCAACATACCTTTACCGACAGACAAAAGTCTACATTGGAATTCTTGATAAATAAAGTGTATAGTGGACAGAGCCAACTGGGGAAGTTAAAAACACATGGTTAATATCCACATTACAATAAATGATATCCGAATCAGCATAAAAATAAGGTGTTCTTGTTTTAAATTTTAAACATTATACATTTGATTCTTGAAATACTTTGTCACATTTCTCACACATTTATTGTCAGCTACTATTTATGAACAAGTTTAATGAAAAGGTCATCCTAACATGCCAAAACTTCAACACTCTTTTCCTGTTGTTGGAACAGCAGGATTAAGTACCAATTTGTTTAGCAGAATAACTTCAAAACGTAAACTACCACAACGAGGTGAGGTGAGGTGAAATAGGGTTTAACGTCGCGTCCAAGAATATTGCACTTATATAGCGACGTGCATGTACGTGTGTGTGTTTGTGTGGCTGCTTGTACAAGTCCGGACTGATGCCGATTTATAGTGCTAGCTCACTGTGGTACCATGCCGCAGTTTAACATGAGTACCCCACTCAGACACAGTATACTGACTCCGAGCCGACCAGTCCTTGTTTTAGCCCCTTAATGCCGAGCGCCAGACAGGGTAACAACAAGTACCATCTTTTAACGTCTTTTGGTATGACGCGGCCGGGGATCGAACCCCGGACCTTCCGCTCTCCGGGCGGACGCTCTACCACTAGACCACGGAGACTACCACAACGAGATCAAAGAAGGTATTAAAAAAGCTTTTTATAATCTCGTGTCTGAAGCGTTTTCTCACTTAATTTGGGATTATTAATAAAGTACTTTACTGATGGATTGGTCAGGAAGGTTCAGTTTGTTGTAACAGTGTCACAATTAAAAGTCAACAGCTTTTATGGGGTTTTTTTCACGTCCACGCAAGCTGTCAGTATCTAATTGTTTGAATTACTCCTTTTCCGCGTTTCTCCTTTCTGCATGTGTGTTGCTGTTGATGATAAAAACGACGAATTTCTTACTATGGGGTCTTTAAGTAGAGGGGAATGTCCGAGTAACTCTCCATTCCTTAACATAATGGAGCAGAGGCCCCGCAGGGGCCGAGGCCCATTATCTTTAAGGAATGGAGAGTTACGCGGATATTCCCCTACTTAAAACTCATCCCTACTTTTACACTTTGACAAAATATTCTGTAGTTGAAAATATGTGAAAAATTCAAATACTGCTTCAAGATAATGTACACTTGACAAGCAACTCTCCATTCCTGAAAAAAAATGGAGCGTTCAAACAATAGAATGACGTCACAGATGTGTTTTAATTAATGAAAGAAACGTAGTCAAAACACTGTCACGTCCTACCCAGGACATCACACCTCACATGCTAAGGTCAGTGGGCACCTTCGCATATACACATATCACAGAAAACAGAGATAATCTTTAGACAACTTCCTCACTCACCCTTCTATGACATCGTTGATTATCCACAATCATCTATGATACATGTACAGGGCCACTATGACCAAGATAAATGCCAGGACATAATACATGTTGAGGGCCAACTGGAAGATGGCGACAGAGAGTAGAGTCGTCACCAACATGGCGCTGGAGATGATGAAGAGACGTGTGATGTTGCTGCCGTGCTTCATGATGGCCGACATTATCAGCCCGTTGAAGGCCTGTGGAGAGATACAGTATTATAGGTGTTCAGCAACCCATGCTTGCAGTAAAAGGTGACTATGCTTGTCGCAAAAGGCGACTAACGGGATCGGTTGGTAAGGCTCGCTGACTTGGTTGATGCATGTCATCGTATCCCAATCGCATATTTCGATGCTCATGATATCAATCACTGGGCTGTCTGGTCCAGACTCGATTTGTTACAAATCGTCGTCATATAGCTGGAATATTGTTGAGTGCGGCGTTCAACAAACGAACAAATCATACCGGTTTTGAATAAACAATGCTCAAATAAACAATGGGACTCAAGTACTAGAATGTGTACTTTACCAAGTGTTATCCCAACTAAAACATATGTTACATTTGACCACTTTACTAAAAGGCATTGTCTATTCATAATTTTTGTGACTTGGGGACCGTGTCTATTTACACCTATAAGAGGGGTACACAAAGTACGTGATCTAAACTACCAGTTGTTGGACTTTCAGTATGTGGAAACCACGGGGGCGGAGTGGGTTAGGTCGCTGACTTTTGGGGGGCTGGCGATTAGGTGCCTTACTCTGTAGTAAGTGTAAGTACTCTTCGAAGTAATTTGTAATTTACTAGGAAAGTTTTATCCCACATATAACATATGTGTCATACCAGTTCTATAGGGAATACAGCAGGTTCCACGAGAAGGAAGAGTGACATAGTAACAACCTTACCAGAGAAACTACCAAAGCCCATGTTTTGAGTGTGAAACCCTCGAATAAATCCATACGTCTATCTGCAATACAAACAAAACGTGTCGAATCTTCAAATTCCCGAACGAACACCAATATATTTATCGTGACCCTCAATCTTGATAGGGTTCCCTTTATCAAAAATGTCATTGTACGTAATAAAATATCAATTTAATGTTTCTTAAGTTGGCTTAAAAATGTATGAAAACGCATACCTAGTGGGAGTGAATGAAGAGTAGGAAGTGTCCTGGACCTACCTCGATCGTATTCACAAGCATGTGACCTCTCTCAACCAATCAGAACACTGATTAGATGGCTTTAAAATTACAAACATGGTATTGGCAGAGTCATATTTAACACAAGTAAATGGTTAAAAATCTCCTTGTTTGGTCATGTCCGAATGCAATCATCAGGACATTTGACATCTTTAATAAACAATATATCACGTCAATGGCCGCCATCATAGTTGACGGTCAACTAAGAGAAGTGATATTTACCAGACAATCAGTTTCTTTTATCAATTGGTATTGTTCTTATGTTATAGGAAGTGTTCGAATAAATGATACACGATGAACAAACTGGATTCTAAATATTAAGCATAGGTACACTACACGAAAAAAAGCCAAAAACAATATCCCAATATTCCAAATCATTTGATAATATTTACACGTGTGTCTAATTTGGGAATGCATGGGAAAATAATAGAAATCCACACATTTGCATCAATACTGTTTCGATGTGGTTCTCAAGTTGAAAGGCAAAGGTTAATCCAGAAAGGGGATCAAGAAAGATAAAGAAAGCCGCACGTACAGAACTAAATAGTGAAATCAGTAAATAACCACTCAAGATCAAGAAAGCCGCACGTACAGAACTTAATAGTTAAATCATTTTAACAACCACTCAAGATCAAGAAAGACGCACGAACAGAACTAAATAGTGAAATCAGTAAACAACCACTCAAGGTCAAGAAAGCCGCACGTACAGAACTAAATAGTGAAATCAGTAAACAACCACTCAAGATCGAGAAAGCCGCACATACAGAACTAAATAGTGAAACCAGTAAACAACCACTCCAGATCAAGAAAGCCACACGCACAGAACTAAATAGTGAAATCAGTAAAATGCCGCGATATAACTGGAATACTGTTAAAAGCGGCGTTAAACCCAACTCACTCACCCACTCACTCCAGGAAAGCGCGCATTAATATTTATTACGTCACAGGGAAGGGATGTGTCAGTCGGACAGTGACAGAAGTCAATATATACTGAGTCAAATTAAAAATTTCCATATATGATATACAACGGTCAAATGTATCAGAGAAGGTAATTTTGAATCATTAATGTCCAAAGAAGGATTTTAATTAACGGTGGTAACCATAATTTGTTCGAAGCACCTACGGTATTCGGTAATAACATTAACGGTTTAAATCAAGTCCCAAGCACGAGAATCTGAGAACACAAGTTCAGTAGCGTGTATGGCCACCATGTGCGTTGACAACTGCCACACAACGCCTCCGCATGGACCTTGTGATGCTTGTGAACACATGATTGGGATGACGACGCCATTATTGCTGCAAAATGGTGCCAAGATCTTGCAAATTCTGTGGTTGGTTCTGGAGAGTGCGCAGACTTCTGCCAAGAGCATCCCAGACGTGTTCCATGGGATTGAGGTCGGGAGACCTTTACGGCCAGTCAATGACGTTGACTCCCGCATTCTGAAGGAAATTCCTTGTCAAAATTGCTGTGTGGGGTCTGCTATTGTCGTGTTGGAAGATTAAATCGGGTCCATGTGCTGCCATAAAAGGCAGAAGCTCTGGTGCCAGTACCTGGTCGCGGTGGGCAGCAGCGTTGAGGTTGCCACGGATGACAAGAAGCCTGGAACGTGCATTGCCACAGAAAGCACCCCACACCATGACACTTCCGCCTCGAAATCTGTCAACTTCCTGTACACAACACTGGGCGTAACGTGCATGACGGCGCCTACACACCCTCGCCCTACCATCAGCAAATCGAAGATTAAATCGGGATTCATCACTGAAGACAACTTGATTCCAATCGTAAGTGTCGCTGTGCCCACAATTGACGTTGACGTCTGTTTAATTGAGTCAAAATCGGCCCGCAGTATGGCCGTCGTGCTTGAAGGTGAGCAGTTCTCAGACGGTTTCGAACAGTTTGCGCACTCAGTCTACCCCTAAACAGTTCATTTCTGGTTGATGTAGCCGTCAAAAATCGGTTACGGAGGTGACGTAAGACAATCTGACGATCCTCTGCATGTGACGTCACACGTGGTCGACCTGGCCGAGGGCGATCAGCGGTGGTACCCGTTTGCTGTAGACGCGTCTGTAAATCATAAACAGTCCGTCGACTACAACCTATCGTCCTTGCGACTTCAGCTACGGACGTTCCCGTCTGCAACATGCCGATGGCACGTTCACGTTGCACATTTGAAAGGCGTGGCGTGACAAATGGCCATAAAGACTTTTGTTTGCTTGCGTTTTTCTTTTTTTGTTAATGACTGCTAACAAGTATGGCTGAAAACACGTGCGGTATTATGGCCACGTGACCAGTTGCACGTGAAAAACCACTTTTGCCACCATAGTGCTGTGCACATGATTTTGATCGTTTCACCTGCACAAAAACGGGTGTTATCTGAAGACAATACGTGGCCAATACTGTTTAAATACACAATAAGGGCCCACAATGATAACTGGTCAAAATGTTAAAATTTTAGGATTGTGAAGTTTTTAATTTCGTTCAGTATACATCAACCGGCAAAATAACAACAGCAGGTAGATTATCCATTGATGTAGTTAGCGTAGTGACACACTGTGGTAATTAGGTCATGTTTGACAAGTAAGTGAGTGACTGAGTGAGTGAGTTTGGTTTAACGCCACTTTTAACAGAATCCAGTTCGCGGCGTGTCAGCGTATTGTGGGAGGAAAGCCCGAAGTGATGCAGGTCTCAGACGTTTACCACTTCCGCGAAACCCACGAGCACAGGTATGGTGCTGACAAACCTAGAAACATAGTCGGGGCGAACCAGGATTCCAACCATAGGTCGACAATCAATCGAACTCTCGAGCAGCGGATCTTTGCAAGGCCAAATTGCAAGTTTTTAATTATACTACTCTGTTTTGTTTTCTTTCGTATTTCACTCATTGTTTCCGTATATCTCGGAGGTTGTACTTTATTCAATCTGGTAGATAACAATACCTTCTCCCTGGCCACTCCATGCCTCCTGCAGGGCCCACGCTCCACCGTTGAGGACAATACCGAATGTGTACATCAGAGTGTTTTGAACGTGGAGGGAGGTCTAGAAAACACATTCGGGTAAAATGTTCATGCCATTACATACGTTATAATAGGTTAACACGAATATATCAAATTTTTGGTTTAATCGACACAGTTGTGGAACAGTGAAACGAATTAAATCTAGTGCCATACCCAGTGAAATTTTCAAATGTTCCGGGTTAGCTAATTTTACCTGCCATGGTAAAGGTCAGAGATATTCGTCAGCCTAATCCAGGGAAGCAATATCTTTTAAACATCTTTGACAACACTGTGTTCAGTATGCTGCACCCGCGACTGCGGGCTGATACACAAGTTTGTACTTGGAATACACACTAACAGACTCGACTTTTGTACTCATGTATTACTGTGTCCAGTACAACAATCATTCCATTCGACGGTCTTAGAGAATGTTTTAAGATTTCGAAGACAAGCACATTTGCGCAATGAAAGTCTGTTAAATCGCGGCATGTCAGCTTAATGTGGGAGCAAAGCCCGAAGGGATGCAGGTCTAAGACGTTTACCACTTCGGTGAAACCCACAAGCATGGGTATGGTGCTGACAAAGCAAGAAACATTTCGGGGCGAAACGGGATTCCCACCCAAAATCATAGGTCTCTGGCGTGCCCAGGGGACGCAACTCTGCACAGCGAATCACGGCGCCTTAGACGACTGGGCCACCCGTGCCCCCCGTGGCTGACAAGTGCGCCAAGAGCGAACATTCAGGGATTGTTAAACATAGCTATCAACAGTGAACACGTCCTCTAAGGTTGACTCATGTGGATGAAATTCAATACCAGGTGACTTTAAGGATACTATAATCTTATTATAGATTTATTCCAGGTTTTAAGCTTTCGAAGATGAGCACATTTGCGCAATGAAATTAAGTCAGCACCTTACCTGATAGTGTTTCTTTAATATGTATTCGGTGTAGACCCCGGCGAAGCCTGATATACAACAGTAGGTGCACAACATGATCAGACCGGACACAGTCAGGTGCATCTCCCCGGACCGCACAGCCCCCTCGGTCTGCATACCACCATAGCTGAACAGAGAGATGTCACATTGATCCTCTCTCCACGCACACACACACACACACACACACACACACACACACACACACACACACACACACACACACACACACAACGCACGCACGCACGCACACACACACAAACAGTCACTCACTCACTCTCTCTCTCTCTCACTCACTCACTCACACACACACACACACACAGACGTCGACCAAATTTGGAAATGTCCTCCACATGTCTACCACAAAACTTTTTGAAAGCTTTACTGAGGTCTTTTACGTTAATAAAGTGACAAAACCCTTTCCATACCCAATAGCAACTTCAGACAAACGCAGAGTCGATTATACGATTCACACACGAATAGCATGACCATGCGTTTATGAATCACTGTCAAATAGAGATGGCACCAGATGGTCGCGAACACGTGAGCGTATCCTGCCCCATCGGTGGCACCCGTCTCAAAAACATCGGGATACCTTACAGTAGTTAATAAAACGAATTCGGTGACAACGTGCGAGAGAAAGACTACATGCAGCATGCAGACAACTGAAGTCATGACATGTGAGACCGAACACCTTCTTATCAGCTAGCCTGGTGGCTCAGTGGGTTACAGTACTAAACATGATAGAAGGTAGAAGGTTCGATTCACGTCAGGGAATTTTCATGTTAATAAATTGTGACCTTTAACATTAGCCGCATATTGAAACCTAGGTCTTCTAATTCAAATGTAAAACCTCCAAGCAGGTCTTGCACTTAAAATGTACCTCCCCCCTCCACCCCGATAGTTGTAGCTCAAAAATACCTTGAATGCTGATTCTAACATAGGAAAGGCGTTGTGGAAGAAGACCTACCTGTCCAGTATGCCAGAGATGCTGAGAAGGCCAATTGATATCCACTGCACAACGGTCGGCTTGCTGCAGCAACAAGGCAACAGATGTCCAACCTCAACATCAGGATACAGTGAGAACTCTTGCCCAATATTACATGCGGTACGACAATACATAATCCGGGCCATGCCAGTCAGTATCTTGCTCGCCGATATCACTCAAGTGCGTTGTCAGTCCAGTCCGTGTTTTTCAGTCACGGATGTATTATTTCAACTGATCACGTGATCAGTATACAGTAAAGTACGGTTATAACGAACTCAAAGGGACTACTAATTTTAGTTCGTTATAACCGTAGTTCGTGATAAGCATATATACAGCATAACTAAAGCAAATAGTCTGGACCCAAAAAGTAAGTTCGTTATATCCGTCAGTTCGCTATAAGCGTGTTCGTTATAACCGTAGTTTACTGTATTATGTATTGAGACAAGACTTCTCCATGCCATAGTATTATGCATCACTTGGGAACATATGTCAACTTTCTGACTAAAGTTAGCATTTAGTCCAATGAATTAATATTCTTATTCATGTAATGTAATAACTGACACGAGTGCAACTCAAAACAGAACGCTCTTTGATAATTATTTCTCAGTTAATTCCATGTGTGAAAAATGATCAATCTGAAGCACTCGTAAAGTCGACAGCAACAACACAATCTCCTGGGCACATGTTTGTTTGTTGTTTAACGCTGCACTCAGCAATATTCCAGCTATATGACGGCGGTCTGTAAAAAATTGAGTCTGGACCAGACAGTCCAGTGATTGACATCATGAGCATCGAGCATCTCAATTGGGATACGATGACATGCATCAACAAGTCAGCGAGCCTGACCACCCGATCCCGTTAGTCGCCTCTTACGACAAGCATAGTCGCCTTTTACTGCAAGCATGGGTTACTGAAGAACTGCTCTACCCCTGATCTTCACGGGTCCCTGGCCATATGACATCATATCTACAACTGGTCGTAATTATAGTAATAATAAAATAGGAAGAATTCTCGTAAATGGGCTAACTTCCACTCAACAAAGCACGCCCAAAGCGCTAACAACACACATGTATATGTACGCTAGAGTTAAGAGAGAGTTTTGAAGTCTTGACTTGAAAATATCAATTGAGGGCATTTGAAAGAACATTCAATTTCTGTGCAGCAGGGTTTTTTTCAAAACATCAGGCACAAAAGGATTTAAGTTTACATGTGGAAATTTGTCACAAGACCACAAGTTACAAGATGGCTAGTACACAGGTACAAGATCCATGATCAAAGATGGAATGTTCCATTTACACTCTTCTTAGGGTAGGCAACGTGAAGTCAATTATCAGTTGTCCATCTTCCCGAGGCAAGGGAGTTTACTGACTTTAAAAGTCCAGTTTCCGGCCTTGCCGAGGCTGGAATTTCGAAGTTATGTTTTTTGCTGGACTAAGGAGTCTATGCATTGTCCAATCAAAATGCTGCCATTTTGTTTGAAGCAATTGCAAGTAATATGGTAGTTGTATATGATTGGTCAATAGGAGAGACATAGAAGGGACACAACTCGCTATAGCCACTAGTGGCGCTACGATCTAGCCAAAAAATTCCTGCCTATTTTGGCCAGGACGGAAGCTGCATTTTTATTGTCAGTTTCCCTTGCCTCGGAAGAGGTCAGATGTCAAGCGATATTTGTATGTAAGGATGACTAAAACAACGAGTATGTTAAAATGGGATCGTACAAAAACGTATACTGATGCTGCAACAGCCAGCTAATCTGGTAATCTTACATCGCATGATGACAATTTGTAGTCATATAATTTAAAACATTCCATGATGCATGGTGTCCTAAAAGTATTTATTCTATGGAAGTTTACGTTAGATCCAGGAATCATAAAATATACTGAGAGGCAATGAAAACGCAATCCAATTTTCAAACGTGAATTTTATTAACATAAGAAAATTTCAAAGCTTCTATTAAGTATATTAGCAAAGACTGATGACGATAGAGAAATTCTGCATAAAGCAGTGTCCAATATCATCAGTTCCAACCCCATTTACAGAAGAGAGATTGAACAGACCCTCAGTATCTGGTGTGTCCACCTTGAGCACGAACACAAGCTTGCAAACGCCTTGGCATGGAATCACATAAACGACGGATGAAATGAGCCGGGATTACGTTCCAGTGATACTGCAATGCCTGAGTGAGCAACATTGCGGGGCGGAATCTGTTGTCGTCTCACACGCCTACTAAGTTCGTCCCACAGGTGCTCAATTGGGTTCATGTCTGGTGACCTTGAGGGCCGCTGCATGACCTCCAAGTTGTTTCTCTGAAGAAAATTCCGTGTCAGGATGGCAGTATGAGGCCGAGCATTGTCATGCTGAAACACTGGCCGGTTTCCACCATGCTGTCTTAAGAGAGGAAGAAGAACTGGCTGTAGAACAGTATCCACGTAACGTCGTGCCGTCAAGTTACCTTGCACAATAACAAGCTGTGATTTAAACACAGCATTTATGGCTCCCCAAACCATTAATCCTCCACCACCAAAGCGATCTCGTTCACTAACACAAGGTCGCACATAATGTTCACCTTGACGTCGGTACACACGGAGCCGTCCATCTGGGAAGGAGACGTTAAAGCGAGACTCATCAGAGAAAACAACATTCCTCCAACCGACGTTTCCCAGAAAACCACCTGCTGCAGCCCATCGTTGTCGTTGAAGTCTGTGATTATGCTTTAAGATCTGACCTTGGTACGGTCGACGTGACCGTATCCCTGCTGCAGCAAGACGTCGACGCACAGTTCGATTGCTGATGGATCTTCCTCTGCTTCCGATAGTGTTGTTTGCAGTCTGTACAGCTGTCTCAAATCGACGTCGGCGGTGTTGCATGACAATATAGCGATCCTGACATCCTGTTGTCACCCGTTGAACGCCTGGGCGTGGCCGATCCTCCACCCTGCCTGTGACGACTGACAGTTGATGGATGGACATTAAAGTGTTGTGCAACGTCAGTCTGTGGAGTGTCAGCTCGCAGCATTCCAATGGCCTGGTGTCGCTGATCTTGGGTTAACCGTGGCATGGTGCATATGGACACCAGTTTCAAATCATGATGTGATTTTATAGGGGAGCAATGTGTACTGTTTGCATGCAATTCAAAATTCATGTCGTGCACGTGCATTTCAGGACTGCAAGCTGAAGATGTATTTGGGCGTTTTTATCATTGTGGTGTGCACACAACCAAACATGTCTGTACACACGACGACAGAAGACAATTATCACGCTAAGTAACATTTTTCAATAACTAATCACTTTGTTTTCACCTCTGTTACTATTCTATGATAAAAAATGCTGATTGCGTTTTCATTGCCTCTCAGTATATGTAACTCCGAAATTCTGAGATTTAAACAACGATTATGATCCAAGTCTGACTCACCGTTGAATGATAATCCTGTACAGGACCGCCGTTGTGGCAACCTTCATGTTGCCCAAAATCTACGAAATATATGAAAGGTCAATGCCAGAGAATGACCAGTCTCGATTATCCGACGAAACAGTTTCCATTGGGCGTAAAGGGCAAAAAGCGGTGAAAATTATATGTATGGATCACAGAAAATCAGTAAGGACACCCGATGCTTACGAAAAGGATAAGCATGTCCTTCACTACCAGTACCCTGCCGGGCAAAAGAGTATAAGTTTGAAAATTGGATTTGAACAAAATTTACAAACGTTCACAAAACGTTTCTGGGTTGAGTGAGTATGGTTTAACGCCGCTTTTAGCAATATTCCAGCAATAACACGGCGGGTGACACCAGAATTGGGCTTCCCACATTGTACCCATGTCGGGAATCGAAACCGGGTCTTTGGCGTGACGAGCGAACGCTTCCATCACTAGGCTACCCGATTGAATCCTTAAAACGTCGCTAAAACACAATTTTGATACCCGTATCAAACACATCACCATCGAATAACCATTTTAGCCACCATCAAACATTGGTGTATACTTTCTTTTGTCCGGTTTTAATCTCTCTCTTTTTAAAAACGAGTACCATCAGAGCAGGAGATTGGATATTGACACATTACTACCACGTGCACATTTGTTTAGACAGTGAGTGAGTGAATATGTTTGGTTAAGTGCCGCTTTGAACAATATTTCAGTTATGTCACGGCGTGACAGCTGGATGTGGAAACCGGAATTGACGTTAGACGTTACCATTTTGATGAAACCTATGACCACTTGTGTGGTGCAGACAAACCAATATATATAAGCACGACGAATCTGGAATTTGAACCCACATTCAGTTTTCTGGCACGCCTAAAAGCGACCACTGGGCTACCTAGCCGACACAGAAATATATGTAACGTCAATCGGTGGGTATGACAAAGATCGACCCCAGGCTATTGTTTTCAGCCAGCATTACCTGGTAGGTGGTGGGGTCCATCTGCACCTGCATGTAAACGCTGAGGTTGTTGTTGATGCAGTACAGCACGGCTGGAACCATTAACAGCAGACAGTTGGACAGTGACGGCATGGTCATGTCACCTCTCCGCAGTTCCGGCAACAACATTGCTATCGACAAGACAATCTGCAACACAAACAATACATCAATTTAATCACAATCTGTCAATGAATGTTCTGCTCTGAGAAAGAGATTTCAAATGCAAAATAATAAAACAGGTTCTACAACGAAACAAACCTTGAGGACTTCTGTACAGAGGATGACTGACGATGACCTGAACGGCAGTTTCCCCTCCACCAGACACAGGTGCGCCAGGATGGTGAATGAGCTGTAGATGAACACCCTGGAAACAAAAATTGTATCTATGTTTTATATATACTAAACCGCAAAAGAAACGTCGCCCCAAGTAACATTGCATGAAAAGTTGTTATTTAAATATTTGGGTAATTTTTGCCAAATATTCTCAAATTTAACATTACCTTGTCCGGAAAAATGAATTTTGATGATAAAAAAACCAAAGCAGATGACAATAAAACCGATCGCCCAAACGCATTACGGCAACGGCCATGGTAACCTGATGCACGTGAGTTCCGTGCAAATTGCAATGCAATGCGTTCCCCCATTTCTTGCCCTATAAAAATCCACCCAGACTGGATAACATTCATTCGTTATTGAATTGCTACCACATGCCAAGATTGACAAGAAATCAGCGACACCAATCCCTTGGACGATTGCAAGCTGGACAAACCGCCCGGCAAGTAGCCAATGCATTTCATGTCCACGTAAGGACCATATACAGGCTCCAGCAACGGTAACAGACCACCAACACTACAGATGACCGACCACGTAGTGGAAGACCAAGGGTCACCACCCGATGTCAGGATCATTACTACCGCGGAAACTGCTCGACAGACCATGGGGACACACCAGCGACACATTAGTGCGGACATCGTGCGTCGACGATTGACGAGCAGCCACCTCCACTGTTACAGGCCATACCGAGGGCCAATTCTGACACCACGTCATCGCCGGGGCCGTCTCTAGTGGGCAACACAGCACTAGCGTTGGTGCCATTAGCAGTGGAGAAGAGTCCTGTTCTCAGACGAGAGCCGTTTCTGTATCTCAACAGCAGAGGGCAGAGAGAGAGAGAGAGAAAGAGAGAGAGAGAGAGTCTGGCGACGCCGTGGGGAACGTTATTCGGATGCTTGTGTTGTTGAGAGACACTCGTGGGGTGGTCCGAGCATCATGGTCTGTGGTGGAATTGGTCTTGCACAGAGGGTCGGCCCTGTGGTCTTCCAGAACATCGGTCCAGGGAGGGGCAATGGTGTCACAGCACCTCGGTACATTCATCAAGTCTTGAGACCACACGCCATACACGCCTCATTTTGCACGTCGCCGCAACCACGAGTTTCAGCATGATAACGCCCGTGCCCACACTGCGAGAGCAGCAAGAGACTTCCTCCAGCAGAATGGCATCAGAACCATGCAGTGGCCTGCCCTCAGTCACGATTTATATCCCATTGAGCACTTGTGGGACGAGATTCAAAGACGGCTGAATGACAACTGCAGCTGAACTGCGTCTCGCGTTCCTCAGAGTGTGGGCTCAAGTGCCTATAGCCTTCATCAACCGCCTCATTCATTCCATGTATCGACGTTGCACGGCAGTCATCAATGCAAATGGTGAACACACGAGATACTGACTTGATGGCATTTTCTCAGAGACTAGTTGTGTTTTGCCTTTTCAACCTTGATGATTAGTTTTGCCAAGTTTCATCTTTTTAATATCTCTCAGAGTATGTTTACAGTGTATGGACAAATAATGTTTCTCATATATCTATCCTTGGTGACGTTTCTTTTGCGGTTCAGTATATATGTTAATTAAATAGATCTGAGGTACGATGGGGTAGTACCATACTGAGGTACGATGGGGTACTACCCTACTCAGGTACACGGTTTCGTGTCTAAATGCTTACAAAACAATTCGTACTACAGCGCTGTTAAACACACTGCCATACACATATTTATGTTTATTAATGTGTGGGAGGACATAGGCCCATGTACATTTCAGTTATATATAGTAACTTGAGGCAATGTAAATTGAAAACAATACTTAGGGTATAATATTAGGCCTTTGTACGTAATAATAGAGCTTAGCTACACATACTTAGCTACATTCTGAGTATACAGTCATTTTGGCTATTTAAGAGATTGCTAAAGGTATTAATACGTGGATTGTTATAGAATATTGCAGGAATATACTTTTGTCTTTATGATGCGTAAAACGGGCAGACAAACACAAAATGGACTTCGTCTTTAATACAACCATTGTGACACAGCCGACAAAAGCTTTGTGAATAAACAATATCCTCTCTTCTGCCCAGATTACACCGTATAGGCAATTCACTTAATCTCTACAGGCACAGCATACCTCTATGGTCTCTATTTATGAAAGCTGTAACGTAATATTCCATATACAATAATATCTTGACGTGTGAATAATACCTTAATTTACAAGACTCACAAATTTTCATCTGTTTTCTCTGTTTCTTACAATCCAACAAACGCTTTCTAAACAGCTGCAAGGCACAGTTAACATCACAAATATTCTGTCAATATTCGTGCCACACATAGCCAAATCCATAAATGTCGAGTGAATATTTAACATGAGTTGCCATAGGAATTCTACCACATTCATCCAGCTTCTTCATTAACAAATACCACTGTCGGGGATATCTTTCATCGTTCATTCTATATAATTACACCAGTATTTAACACACTTCATATAATCCACATGCAAACCATATCTTCCACATTCAGCCAATATTGCCGTACTTGATACATATTTACCAACTCCTAAAACAAATTTACAAAACTTAGCATTAAACGTTTCGACAATTTGACTAGCCTCGCAACCTCAGATCTCCGCACCGTAAAGAAGAATGGACTTTATCTTAATTTAAATAAAATGTTAACTGTGTGAAACTGCATTTTTTAATGTCAAACAAAGGCTTATTGGCTTTTATCTTGAGGGTATCAAAGCATTTAGTCCAACACTCCAAGACAATCTATTTGAAAACAGAACACCCAGATAACTATAGTATGAATCTGAAAGAGAATTATTTGATGTCATGACAGCACACTGAATCTTAGAGTATAGATCCTTCAAACCAACAATAAACGACCGTGTTTTCCTTTTTTCATTATTGAATACCACTAGAGTTTCCGTTAATCGAATCGAACGCTTTACGGAAATCAACAAACAAACAATAAAATCCTCCCCGACGTTTAGAGAGATATTTTTGTGCTAAACACTGTAATGTAAATATGTTATCAATTGTACTGCATCTGCTTCGAAATCCGGCCTGAGCTTCAGAAATTGTATCATAAACTTCCGTAAAGGTCTTGCATCTATCATTTAATATTGTTGTCATCTTTCCAAATACATCCATCAGCGTTATACCTCTATTATTATTAATATCATTTTATTTTCATATCATGCAGAGGAACTACAATACCATTTGCCAGCTCGTAAGGGAATACACACCAATGTATAATCCTATTACAAATTATAGTTAAGTATGTTATGATTGAAGTTCTGCAACATTTCACCATTTCAGGAAGAATTCCACCCGGTCCTGTCGATTTACCCAGTTTCAAGTTATGTATGCAAATGACAGTGCAAATAGGTTAGATATTACTAATTTAATAGCTTCAAGAATCATATTACAATTATAAACACTTGTGTGAAATAACGATTATTATTGTTTTGACATATTGTCATATATATTTGCAATGTGCATACATATTTCCACAACAAATAAGCATAAACAAATCTGAAGTTAAATCATTGGAGTAAAGCCTTACCGTCTACCACACATGGCTCACTGACGTCACACAATTAAAGTTCTATCTATAATGAAATCTCACAGCTTGCCCTGTCCGTCCTTAATGAAGGTGTCCATCACTTGTAATTAAGGATTGGTGATTGACGCCCCAAGCGCCAGGCCACCTGTCAAGCAGCGTAAGTCTCTGCTTTATTATAGATTACATAAGCATAACTCGTCAGTCAAGTATAGTCAATTTATTCAGGGTCATTTAAAGAAAGTGTATTATAGTCATGCATGTACTGTCCAATGAGAACGCAGCAGTTTATATTCTAACGATAGCCAGTGGTCACCGTACTTCTGCTGATGTAATTATTATCATAAATATAAATAGTTAGTTGTCACATTCGTGGTCGACGCTTACCCGTGTGCGGTAATGAGGGTTCTACATACAATAAGACTTATGTTCGATCCCAAATGATCAGTCTGTAACCTGATATTTATAATATATTTAGGATAAGTACGAGGCATAAGTAACGGCGCATTTTGCACAAACAAAGAAAAAACTTGAGTCAGAAGTGCTGAAATGTGAACATACATTTCCAATTTGATTAAAAAAACAGTAAGATGGTCATCAACGGATGGAAATTTCGATCGTAACGAGTCGATGTTCTTAGTTCAGGAGGTACAACAATGTTCAGTCAAAAAATCAATGTCATGCTTCAACATTGGAATGCCAGTGATTTGATAGTTGAAATGATGTTGAAATGTCGAATTTGAAATCAATATTAAACAATGTCATGCTTTAACTTGAAACGACTTTGACTTTCGGATTCGAAAGCTGTGATGACGTTCAATCAACATCAGTTGTCAATGTTGAAACAATTTCGTGCTTCAACATTGAAATGACATTGCATGCACTTGAAAATTGGATTGACCTTGACTTTTGGTTGGATTTGAAAATTGAAATGTCGACGTTAAATCAACAAAAGATATCAGTGTTGATTTGGTTGGGTATTGGTTGATTATTTGTTGCATTGATATATACAGCTATATATAGCACGATATGACATCGAAAGGCCAATGCTGCATCAATGTTGAAAACATTATCGAATGTCAACATATTTCCAATATCGAAAGGTCAATGTTGAATCAATGAACAATTTAAACATATTTTCAATATCGAAAGGCCAATGTTGAATCAATGAACAATTTAAACATGTTTTCAATATCGAAAGGCCAATGTTGAATCAATGAACAATTTAAACATATTTTCAATATCGAAAGGCCAATGTTGAATCAATGAACAATTTAAACATGTTTTCAATATCGAAAGGCCAATGTTGAATCAATGAACAATTTAAACATGTTTTCAATATCGAAAGGCCAATGTTGAATCAATGAACAATTTAAACATGTTTTCAATATCGAAAGGCCAATGTTGAATCAATGAACAATTTAAACATATTTTCAATATCGAAAGGCCAATGTTGAATCAATGAACAGTTTAAACATATTTTCAATATCGAAAGGCCAATGTTGAAACAATGAACAATTTAAACATGTTTTCAATATCGAAAGGCCAATGTTGAATCAATGAACAATTTAAACATGTTTTCAATATCGAAAGGCCAATGTTGAATCAATGAACAATTTAAACATGTTTTCAATATCGAAAGGCCAATGTTGAATCAATGAACAATTTAAACATATTTTCAATATCGAAAGGCCAATGTTGAATCAATGAACAATTTAAACATGTTTTCAATATCGAAAGGCCAATGTTGAATCAATGAACAATTTAAACATATTTTCAATATCGAAAGGCCAATGTTGAATCAATGAACAATTTAAACATATTTTCAATATCGAAAGGCCAATGTTGAAACAATGCTGATACAATTTCAACATTGAAACAACGTACCTGCTGGGAAGGGGCTTGCAACCTGGTTCTTTAGATCACGAACTTAGGGGTTACCTTTCACCTTGACGCTGAAGTCGCTTTATTGGCAGATAATGCAGTGAGCAAGTGGCATCACAGATGTATTGGTGTACGTTTTCACCTCTTGCAAACTGACCGCCTCCGTGGTCTTGTGGTAGAGCGTTTTAGAGCGACGTTAAAAGATTGTACTTGTTGTTACCCTGTCTGGCGCTCGGCATTAAGGGGCTTAAACAAGGACTGGTCGGCTCGGAGTCAGTATACTGTGTCTGAGTGGGGTATTCATGTTCAACTGCGGCATGGTATCTCAGTGAGCTAGCACTATAAATCGGCATTAGTCCGGACTAGTACAAGCAGCCACACACACACATACACGTGCATGCACGTCGCTATATAAGTGCAATAATCTTGGACGCGACGTTAAACCCAATTTCACCTCACCTCACCTCTTGCAAACTATTGCTCATTGTAACTTTCGCTTCGATGATTCTGGTTAACAGTTCAAGGTCGAGAATGACGATTTTAATTGTTTGTTAAACAAAAAGCTAAAGAGACATTCTTTAACATACTTAACCTTGAAAAGAGGCAAATTCTTCAAAACAAATTTGGGGTACGGGGGGCGAGTCGTCTGAGGCGCAGCAATTAGCTGTGCAGAGTTGCGTCCCTCTGGCACGCAAGAAACCTATGATTGTGGGTTCGAATCTCGGTTCGCCCCGATTATGTTTCTAGGTTGGTCAGCGCCATCCCGGTGCTCGTGGGTTTCACCAAAATGATACGCGTCTGAGACCTGCATCAATTCGGGCCCTTTTCCAACATTAAGCTGACAAGTCGTTATATAACTGGAATACTGTTAAAAGCGACGTTAAACTCAACTTACTCACTTAAAACAACCTCGTGTAAATGTAATGGTAAACATACTCACTCAGTTACTAATAGAATCTTCCATAGCATGGGCTTTAGCACATGTTTGGCACCACAGAAAGAGGCTTTGAATCCCGATTCTTCTATCTGCGACTCCTGATGTATATAAAACTTCACATGTAAAAAAAACCCGCCTCCGTGGTCTTGTGGTAGAGCGTCCGCCCGGAGAGCGGAAGGTCCAGGGTTCGATCCCGGGCCGCGTCATACAAAAAGACGTTAAAAGATTGTACTTGTTGTTACCCTGTCTGGCGCTCGGCATTAAGGGGCCAAAACAAGGACTGGTCGGCTCGGAGTCAGTATACTGTGTCTGAGTGGGGTATTCATGTTAAACTGCGGCATGGTATCTCAGTGAGCTAGCACTATAAATCGGCATCAGTCCGGACTAGTACAAGCAGCCACACACACACATACACGTGCATGCACGTCGCTATATAAGTGCAATAATCTTGGACGCGACGTTAAACCCAATTTCACCTCACCTCACCTCACATGTAAAATGCTGGCGTAAACGTACAATGACGTGGCATTCACAAACATGTGAGTTACACATATATACAAACGAAATTTATCAATTACAATGTGAAACATATAGATATATTTGTATAACCTGTTCAACTTGTGCCATTGTGTGACGATGGAGTCCTTTGTGATCCATTGATCCTGCTGATATCCACGCTATTATTATTCTTATCGACCATCAGACCCTACAACAGCGGAGACTGATTGTCTCAACCATCAGACTCCACAACAGTGCTGACACCTTGTCTCAACCATCAGACCCTACATCTGTGCAGACACGTTGTCTCAACCATCAGGCTCCACAACAGCGCAGACACCTTGTCTCAACCATCAGGCTCAACAACAGCGCAGACATCTTATGAACATCAGACCCAACATCAGGCCATGTGACAGCTGTGTCATGTCTATGTTACTACTATGACCAACATGTCTTTGTGTACTGCATGCATGGATACACGCGTATTCTTTGTGTACTGCATGCCTGGATACACGTGTAGAACAATATCCATTATTAACTGGGTGTGTGTACAGCTTGTCCAATATAAACGATATGTAAACAGGTGCTCTGTAAAGAACTCACTATCTGAGAAGCAGCTCGCCATCGAGAACTATCGCTCAGACAAAGGTAAAACACACTATACTTTCCATCTGCAGTTTATGTGATATTTCAATATACCTTTTAATTTTCCAAATTCAAAGTGGCATGGGCATATATTATGGGGATATGGCTATGTGTCTCCAGTTGAGAAGTATTAGATGTGAGGTGAAATGGGGTTTAACGTCGCGTCCAAGATTATTGCACTTATATAGCGACGTGCATGTACGTGTGTGTGTTTGTGTGGCTGCTTGTACTAGTCCGGACTGATGCCGATTTATAGTGCTAGCTCACTGAGATACCATGCCGCAGTTTAACATGAATACCCCACTCAGACACAGTATACTGACTCCGAGCCGACCAGTCCGGACGCTCTGCCACAAGACCACGGAGGCGGTCCACGAGAAGTATTAGAAATTAATATATAAATATATATATTGACATGAACTTGATACTATCCACTTACTGCCATTTACACCTCAAACAGTTATACATATGTACATAACTCGTCAGATATGTTATGACACGAAAATAAGAAATACTGCAGCTACTTTTGCCTATAGTATTGTGGACATTTTGCTATCTAATACTTTATATCATATATCATTGATAAAACATATATCATTCATTGAATCTGGATCGGCAGAGAAGCTATGAAGGCTTATGTTAATATATCTCCAGGACACGTTATATTCATGAAGGCATGAAAAATAATACATGCTATCTTCCGATCTCAAAGTAACCTTAAGAGAGATGCACTATTTTCAAGTGACACCTGCTGAGAGACCTTCCATTTGAACTGTAATACCTGCTTGGAGGTTTTACGTTTGAATTATAAAACCTGATTGAAGATTATATATTTATATTTTTCAGTTTGTTCGACCTAGCTTTTTTAGATAAAAGGAACATCCTTCTTTATTTTCACCAGGGTGTTCAATCACACATGTCTTGACTTCAGTTGTCTACATGCTGTACGTGGACTTTCTCTCGCCCACTGACAACGAAATCGTTTCATGCCACGGTTGCTGTATTGTTTCACTATAAGGTATCCTGATACTTTCCTATTCTTTCGGGTATTTCTCGAATTTAGACGGTTCATAAGTTAGTTACTTACTCCTCCTAGGTTTTGTTTGAAAATGTTACACCTCGGAGTTTAATTATAACGTTATATACACAGAATGTTTTCCTCCTTTATCTCATATCAGCAGATCAACTATCATTTATTAGTTCCGTCTCGCAAAACATTGGCCACCCTCCTCCATCCCACTTAAGACTGAAAGGGACCATTCAGAGCAACATTTTCACTCAGAATAATCAGCATTACTTTGTTCCCCTTATTTAAGAGATTGTCATCAACAAATACAAACTTGTGCCGTATATACTGATGTACTGTATTGAAACTGAACATGGTACACATGCAAATGGTATTGTTTGTGGGGGTGTGTAGATGAGGCGAAGGCCAATAGACAGTACAATCTGGTTATAATACCACTGGTGATTATGTCATGTCACTGCATTATCCAATTACCTTTTTATCATGTCAATCCTGTCTATATGCTAATGCCAATCAGCATGTGTTTATGAAACACTGTCAAATACTGATGATACCAGGTGGTCGCGAAAATGCGAACGTATAGTGCTCGACGGTGGCACCCGTTACAAACACATGCAAAGGAAAATCACTTGTTCGTCTGGAAAAATCGGGAACATATGGTACAGGGAATTTCATCGGACATTATTTTGGCCACTGAAACCAGTCCCTCTCTCAGTGAAATGACCACAGTTGCTTTCACGTCTAATCCTATTTAAATCTTTCTTAGAGGAAGCTCAAAACAACACCCTCTTTCCTAAAATCACAAACAAATTAGTGTGATCTTCATTGCAATACCATGTTCATTAGCTCATTCAATTGACATGACTCTTGGTAGCATTTCATTGGTAACTCACTTTATTCCCTTTGAAATTGAATGTGTTTTGGTTCTTCTAATATTTCTGTATTACGCAAACCAGGTCCATCTTTCACCTACTCGTTATAGTGCCGACCTGGTTTTAGTGCCGACCTGGTGATAGTACTGACCTGGTTATAGTGCCGATCGGTTATAGTGCCGACCTGGTGATAGTGCCGACCTGGTGATAGTGCCGACCTGGTTATAGTGCCGAACTGGTTATAGTGCCGACCTGGTTATAGTACCGACCTGGTTATAGTGCCGACCTGGTGATAGTACCGACCTGGTTATAGTGCCGACCTGGTTATAGTGCCGACCTGGTGATAGTGCCGACCTGGTTATAGTACCGACCTGGTTATAGTGCCGACCTGGTAATATTACCGACCTGGTTATAGTGCCGACCTGGTTATAGTGCCGACCTGGTTATAGTGCCGACCTGGTGATATTACCGACCTGGTGATAGTACCGACCTGGTTATAGTGCCGACCTGGTGATATTACCGACCTGGTTATAGTGCCGACCTGGTTATAGTGCCGACCTGGTTATAGTGCCGACCTGGTGATAGTGCCGACCTGGTTCTAATGCCGACCTGGTTATAGTGCCACATTTTCCAATGTACAAAAGGTAGCATTATAACCAGATTGTAATGTATACTGAACAAAAAGGCTGGGGATATTGAATATTTTTTTTGGATATGATTATGTATGGAAGACAGCACTCGATTGTATATGGAATTTGAATCACAATATTTTCGGATCACAAATTTCAGTAAAAATCTAGTATTACCATTGCACAGGTCCATATGGTTCCATGCATAGACCTGGTATAGTTATAGTTATCTACATGCGTCTCATGTCATGTCATTCCAGGATTAATCACAGACACAGGCCGATTGCCCTCATGAAAAAAGGAAATAGAATATTGTGTTTAACAGTTGTAACGACAATCATTGTCGTGTTCAGCTACTACAACGATAATCCAATGCCGCCGACATCCGCCCCGGACGTCCACGCAGATTCCCCCGGGCCATCGACAAAGGAAATAACTCCTATTGCTTCGTTTTCCACTCTACGCAGAAACGCTGCAAGACCAACAACAACAGCTGTCAGCAGAGAAGAAGCAATACGAGTGGAAAGGAAAATCCAACTTTTTCATGTCAAAATAACTGAAAAGGAGCGGCATGTATTTGAGGTCCTCCTTAAAACTTTCCTTAAAGCCGTACCAGTTAACGTTACATATTTTTTGTATTCCGGTTCGTTGCTTGGCTCTTATCGTCATCACGGCATGATTCCTTGGGACGATGACCTTGACCTTGTAGTGCGAGCAGACGACAAACCAGCACTGTTCACCTCACTGTCCACACAAGCACCAGACTTTATCATCAACCGACATGGTGTTCGCAGGTGGAAATTTTACAATCAAGAATCCCAACCTGTCCCTAACCGCTCGTGGAGGTGGCCCTCGCTTGACATTAGCTTCTTCACCGACAATGGCACACACGTTCTGGATGTGGATGCCGCCATGTTCTCAAAATTTGTGTATAAGCGGACTGATGTGTTTCCGCTCTGCAGGCGACCTTTCATGGGCCTCCTGCTTCCAACACCCAGAAATACAGAAAGCATCATCCGCCATCATTATAGTCTCAGCATCTGTCAGAACACACCGACTGATCACAAGTTCGGAGCAGGGATTCCGATGAACAAGCGTGCCATTTTACCCTGCAACAAACTGAAGGCCATCCATCCATTTGTTCGACGGGAATACAGCTCCAATGGCACTCTGGAGATACTAGAGAGGAATACCACTCGCATTGGATCGTATTTCATCCCTGGCAAGGATTAACCTTTCGCAATCAGTTTCTTAGAAATGTTTACCCAGCAACTTGTAACGCAACGACCGTGCTGTTGGTTTTCTGTAGATTTTAACTAGTCTATGTCTACGCATTTAGAGAACAGTGATCAATAAACGTGGCAGAGACTTAAAAGGTGTTACAGGTGTGCCCAGAGATTGTCCCAAAGTGATGGTCTTCTTGGTGCTAGTCTTCTAAGGCTGTTCCTCGGGGCTGCTCTGCTGGTCTGGTCGTCTTCACTGCCAGGCCGTCTCTCTGTGTCTGTCTCTTATGCTACCCTCTGTATTTAAAGGGTAGCAGGGCTCTTCCCTTTCAATCTGGCGGCCAGGGTTCGCCCTATAATTACGTGTCATTGTTTGCCCCTGTACTAACTCTATATACCCAGTTGTTTAATAAAAAGCCTATTCCTTTTTAAGTCTTTGTCCCTGTAATAACTCTGAACACTGAAGTCACAGCAGTACCCTTACCACGCGACGGCGGCCTGTAAACAAACCAGACACCACGGAGAGCCCGAAAAAATGTAGGTGGTCTCAGACGTTTACCACTTTGGCGAAACGTACGAGAACCGATATATCAAGATACCAAGTAACACATGAATATACCCGGGACGAATCTTGGAATTGTGGCACCTACGACTACAGCAACACACGATTCCCCATCAGATCCAGGTGTCAAAACTCAACAAAACCACACCTGTCTCAGGTGAAAACGACGTTACCACCTTGGTGAAACCCACGAACATGGGTATGGGCCTTGTACAATCCAGGGGTCAAAATCAGGGCGAAATTGATGTCCAAACGCCCAATGGACGCATAGCTATATACGTAAGAAGAAAAAGGTTATTGAAGAAACTTATGATTCTATTATAATAATGGCTACAAATATACCTAAATAAACGATACTTGTCATGTATGGGCGTGGCTCACTGGTTTGATGCTACCAGTAGGTCAGGACAGGATTACCCTTTTCGCAAAAACCTGGTGTCATCACTGATTTGTGAATGTATGTACAAACTATACTGTACCACAGAGGGCATCTGCGGAGTATAAACTTGCCATGCTCATGTTGGTATCACTTAATGTATATCTTATGAAACGACTGGTTCCAAATCAAAATAAGAGGTATCTACTCAGTGGGACTACATAACATTTCAAAACACAATAGAGTGAGTGAGTGAGTATGGTTTTACGCCGCTTTTAGCAATATTCCAGCAATATCACGGCGGGGGACACCAGAATTGGGCTTCACACAATGTACCCATGTCGGGAATCGAACCCGGGTCTTCGGCGTGACGAGCGAACGCTTTAACCACTAGGCTACCCGACCGCCCCCAAAACACAATAGGCCCGTGCCTCCTGGGTAGAATAGGTCTTTAGCAACCCGTAAATGACGAATATGCTTGTTGTAAGAGGCGACTAACGGGATCGGGTGGTCAGTCTCGCTGACTTGGTTGATGCATGTCATCGTATCCCAATTTCGTCAATAACTGGATTGACTGGTCCAGACTCGATTTTTTACAGACCGCCGTAATAGCTGGACTATTGCAAATCAAAATACAGTAGGTGTATCGCCTAATTAACTCAAAGGCAACGGCATTCACATTTATATTTGACAATATGGAAAGAATCTAAAAATCATCAAGTCATGCGAAACGGTACTGTGATTGAAGTGAATGAAGTGTTTTTAACATTCAAGTTGAACTATTATTCATTTGCTATCTGATATGTTACACATTATAAAGATTAACATTCCTTTTCAATGACAGATTTATGGGAAATTGCAGCCTGAAGAACATATAAAGTCATATAAGAACATATAAAGAATTTAATACCTAAATATAAATGAAACTGGTATGCATCGTCTGTTCGACTAGAGACCGCCTCCGTGGCCGTGGTAGACGTATGCCCGGAGAGCGGAAGATCCCCGGCCGCGTCATACCAAAAGACGTTAAAAGATGGTACTTGTTGTTACCCTGTCTGGCGCTCGACATTAAGGGGCTAAAACAAGTCGGCTCCGACACACACACACACACGTGCGTCGCTATATAAGTGCAATAGTATTGGACGCGACGTTAAACCCAATTTCACCTCACCTCACCTCACCTCACCTCACCTCACCTCACCTCACCTGTTCGATTCAGACTACACCATAGACAAACTAACCATCATCCACCTCGTAGAGCTTCTACGAACTAAAGATGAAACGAACATAGCCTACACGGCAGTTCACACACATCGTCCTAGACTAAAATCTAGTCCCTGAAATGAACATATCGTACATAAAAAAACAGATGTTTAGTTATCTTAATAAAAATATAATAAAAAGGAGCCCAGTGACTCTCTTCATTTTCAAATACTGCAGTGATCTAGACTTGCCAAACATTATAGACTTGCATGGGCTGTATTTGATATATATTTGTATCAGGGTCTGTAAGACAGACTAACATCGTCCCGTTGTTATTGATTGGACTGAAACTGGTACGGCATATATTAATGTGTCAGATGCTACTTAACTGTACTTTGGGCACAGTGTCATTTCAAAGCGTGTGTATAAATACACGTCAACATCAGCGAGGATGAAGACGCTACCTTCAGACGCATCATACACCACTGTGTGCTTTAGACTGACATTGGGGAATGTCAATTTGAATTTCACTCCACTGTCACGTTTCTCGGGAGCATGTTAGTTGACAGCGAGATATAACAATAAGGATAAATTGTCAATATGTCTGGTCGTGACATCCATAAGCAAATTTCGTTATTCTCAGTTCTATAAAGTCATGTAAATAAAGTTATACTGAAATGAAATTAATAATTTCTTTTGAAAGCATTTTATCATTTTACTACATATCATACATATGACTTAATGAATCACTATGACGTGCAATGGATCATACCAGGTGTTCGCGAAAATGTGAGCGCATCCTCTCCCACCCGTCACAAACACATGCAAATGCAAGTCAAGTGTTCACCTGAACAAACACGGGAACATATAGAACAAGCCAAAATACGACATTGCATGGAACATAATTTTGGTCACTGATGAAACCATGAAAGGGGTTAAGGTGACAAAGAATATGTTCCACTATTAGTTATTTCCGGCGAAAATATTTTCAAGCAGTTAAATCACAATGGAAAATCTGAAACTATGTTTCTAGTTTTGCGTGATAGGGAACATTAACGTCAGAGAAATATACAACTGGCCACATTGATCAATGTTCACGACATAAAACAGGCAATCACTGGGTATAGTGACATACATCATTGATGTGAGAAGTGAGACATCAGACTGCTGGACCAGCTGATGCTGGCGTGGCCGTGAACAGCGACATGGAAGACTGGTTGATGACACTCCCGCCAGATGCAGCTCAACTCCACAGTGGGAGATGGAGATGGTGATATTGATTTAATTGAATAAATGACAATATGACCTCGTTCTCCGATCGATTAAACCGGGTTTTAATATTAGGTTGGGAAGAAATTAAAAAATATCATGTTGAGAAGGATTCTCTCTCTCCCTCTGCGGACGTGGACCCGTAATGAAAGCATCAACGTTCCATCATGTTCAGTCAGTACAGCAATAAACAGGTTGAAAACTCATTGTAATGTGTTGTCAGTCAAAATTCAACGTTTTTATTGTATGTACTCGCACAGAACACATGATAAATAGAGGGCAATTGTTAAAGGCATATTATTAGATAGTGAGTAAGTGAGTGAGTGGGTTTTAACTACAACGCTACCTAGACATAACTAGGTATGATTGAATATATGATGTCTGGTAGAGGATTCAGAAAAATGCCATTGCTAGTACTTTCCATCACCGATAGTTACATTCAGAAAACTGTTGTTACAAATTCCATCTGACCTCGACAATGCGCCCATACTAACGTCATTGATATAATCAATAATTCGCTCCTAAAGCGTACGAAAAAACTGTATCAGTGAAATATTGTCTTATGTCTTATATAGTATCTATTTTCTCTTACCTTTGCCTACAGTGAATGTACTTCAGTTCAAAGGTTATTGTTATGTGTTAGTTGTAGTTTTGAACAGGGAACGAAACTGACCAAATGAACATTTCGAACTTCAACTAAATCCCTCCCCCAGCTTTGGTAGAAGGGCTCCAAAACACCTTTCCAAGTCTGGGTCAGGGATGTTTCTGCGATATACAAAGTGTGTGCGAGAGGTTGCGGTTTGTTTGGGACAGATATATTGGTAAAACCAGCTTGTGTCGGGGATAATTGTCTGTTTCTAGAACATTCGTAATCCCCTATTAAAGATGCTAATAAAAGGTCAACCCAGACAGCCCAGTATTGATGCCTCAGTTCCACATTAAACTAAACACAGAGGGCTAAATCATGGGGTGGGGTTTTACACCATCGACCTCATACCCCGGGAGGCAACAATGTAACCAGATGACATTATGCACATTAATAATAAAGTTCATGAAAAATCGTTCACTCAGAGGCCTGTATACCCATCTTATGCATTCTTGACGAAACCCTGATTAATGATCCGTTGATCCAAGCTGACTTTTATGGCTTAATTCATATTTTAGAATGAAATATTACAGAAAGCAGAAGTATTAAAACAAACGTTTCAGCGAATGGGGCTCCTGTATTCAGTAGTAAAATTTCTTCTAACTGTCCCGCCGGCATTTGAGATACGGGAGGTCGATGTTAATGTATAACTTACGTCATTATTAGGAGTAGATTATGAATGTTACGTATAGCTAATGAAATGCTAAAGTTGAATAAGAAAACTTGCGTTGCTTACTGAAAGCCTAAAGTCTTCAATAAGATTATTAACTATCAGTTACTGAACTGCTATAGCTGAATAAGAAGACTTACCTCGCAAGACACTGCCTCAATTCCAACGCTGTACATTCGCAGTTTACAAGCTCTGTATATTTACCGTTTCACACCTCCCCCGTTGCTTCCAACAAACATGAACAAAAGAAATGACCACACAAAGCGTCAAACCAACAATACCACCTATAGAAATTTAACATGACACCGCTGCTGTCAAATTTAGAGCCATTATTTGTTGCCTCCAAACAGGTGCTCTAAATATACCCGCACGTGGTGCCTGCTGAAAGTAATTGGAGGCACACGATGGAGCTACATCAGATCATACACTTTGTTGTACCTCTGTCCACAGTCTCATCTAAACAAAGTTCATCTAAATATCTGGAGCAGTATGTGTAAATCAATTAAAATTCCCCGTTCTACACACAAACTGGCCACTCGGACCACGGTCCATGACATTGTCTCGTAAATTTGGCGAACAAACATGGCGGCCAGGCTGCAGTGTTGTCCCCTCGGACCTTAATCGCCGCCATGTTTGCAACTCGCGCTAAGAACCCTTGCATTCACCTTGCACTGAAGTTCATGTACACGCTCGAGTTCCAGAGTCGGGGACGTTTAAAAGCCGGGACAGAGCTGACACCATCACACTTCACCCCAGCCTCCATAACGTCACAACTAGAGAGCCTTGGATTCCGTCTTCAGTCATGAACCGACTCTGCGAGAATTGTCTCACAGCGATCATCATTCTCACCGCCATCGGTGTCGTTCAGCTTCACTTCATTGTCCGCAACGGCCGCCTTATCAAAGATCCATGTACAAGAAGTATCGGCGTCCACTGGGTGCGAGACCCAAAGTCGTGTTCCGAGTACTACATATGCGTGACAGGACTCCCCGTCAAGATGCCTCCTTGCCCCAAGAAGTACGTGTGGTCAGTGGCGGGCAGGAACTGTGTACCCGAGGTGTCGCACTGGAATGACTGCCCAATGGATCTACTTAACCAGCATCTGGAACAACAGGAACAGCATAGAGCTAACGACGGGGCCGTCGCCTTCCACAACCCCAGCAAAACCAACTTCTCTGCAACATCGGACAGGATGGATGCGCTGATGAACCAGGCGGACCCCAATGAAGTCCGCATCAACAAAATCAAAAGTAAGTACAGTTACTTGAACCTGTCTAAGTTTCTTCTCATTTAGACCCTTTCCGATCAATCTTTTAAGAACAATGTAAGGGCGATTATGTAATCACATTTAGCAATAGCACGCTTGAAACCAAAGGGTCAAGATGCTTGCTATAGAGTAGATACGGTACAGGTCCGTCGCATAACCATGGTTAGACACATAGCTCAGATTGTCACTATCAATAGAAGTCTCTAAATACTTTCCGTCCATTATCCGTGATGGATGCCCTTCCATATCGTACATTATAATAAAATGTACAGAAAATGATAAATATTTTGGGAAAATACTGTAACGATTATCAACTGTGTTCACCTGGAGAAAACAAAAGTCATTGTATTTCAAAAACAAATTATTATGTGTGAAATATGAAATTATCAAGGGTTAACTCAGAGAGTGTTTCTTCTAATACAAATTTAGCTTTAATTTATTTGAAAACACTGGCATGAATACACTATAATATGAATGTTGCTACAAAAGCCCAAAATGTACTTTTGTAAATATAAAGCAATGCCTATATTCAAACATAAATCGTCAACGCTAGTGAATAACCAAGTCTTGATTATCCACCAAAGCCGATTCTGTTGGTCGAAAAGGCCAAACAGAAATAACAAATATATAAATGGATAACTCAAAACCACACGATTTCAGAATACTATAGCTAGTAGCTCATCGTTCGGTTGTTATTTTGCTGTATGGTTCAGAGACTGGAGTCTTGATATTAATATTTTCCATGAAGAAACAATTCATACCCTTGCCTGTAAAGGTTTAATATGGTCACTCGAGCATTGAATAACGGCAAGATGAACTAGGCTGCGACAGTCAAGTATACTTTGTCGATTCAAAAGGAAAGGCAATATATTCACCACATACAATCTTTTTCTTGTATTTAGATCCGATGTTCATTGGAACAAGACTGCCTCTTTTAGCAGCTATTTAAAAACAAACCTTATGCATTATTTAAGTCATCATTTGTTGTTCATGCTTACCCTTTTCGCGAACACCTGGTGTCATCGCTGATTTTCAGTGATCCATTCATATACCTTTCACTGTTATTTTGCCTTTACGCCCAATGGAATTTGTTCCGGCGTATAATCGAGACTGTTTTTTCTCTGGCATTGACGTTTTATATTTACTGTATTATTAATACCAAATGATAATTTTCATAATTACTTAAGGAATGTTATATTGTTTAAATTCCATGCTGCTGTATCGCGGTATCGTTGCTCTTCAAGTGATTGAGGAATTGAGTCAGATATCATATCAGCTCTTACAATATTCCAGAAAGCTATATTCTTCCTTCCAAACATACTATGTTCAAAAGTGTAAGTGCCTGAGTGTGGCCTTCGGTGCAATACCATTGCAGGGACACTAAGACTATACTACATACAGTGTACCTATATTGGATCATAGCCGGAGTGAGTGAGTGAGTATGGTTTTACGCCGCTTTTAGCAATATTCCAGCAATATCACGGCGGGGGACACCAGAAATGGGCTTCACACATCGTACCCATGTCGGGAATCGAACCCGGGTCTTCGGCGTGGCGAGCGAACGCTTTAACCACTAGGCTACCCGACCGCCCCTCATACCCGGACCTGCAGTGTGATGGGCGAACACTTTGTCCGCTAGGCTACCCCTCCTCCCTGTTCAGAATACAGGTCTTTGAATGGTCGTGCAGCTCACCAGCTTGGTTGGACAAACGGATAATACAAACGGAAAATAGTACTTTAACAGATTAAAAAGATCTGTAATACTGAAAAAATGTATGCAGATTTTAGCCCTTTTTAAATCTGTAGAGCAATGCAAGACGAAGCCTCAATCATGAAACTTTCCTATCCTAAATTTTCAAAAAAGCTTTTTCCTGCAGCAACCAACAGTTGGAGCAAACGGTAGATAAAATGTTCCCCGTAATTTTTTAACTCGCATGCCTATACTTCCGAGTCTGTGAACAAGGGCTATGTCCTGTGAGTTAGAAAGTTACTGCAACATCCGGCGGTGACCAATGTCTCCACTCTCCTACCCAGAGTTCCATGCGGCCGGCAGCCAGCTAGCATAGTACCACTCTCCTACCCAGAGTTCCATGCGGCCGGCAGCCAGCTAGCATAGTACCTCTGCCACAGGCCAGCGCCATGTGACGATTCGTCACATCTTTCACAGTCCATTCAAGATATTGCATATGCTTTTCATCCGTTTCATGTTTGACAAGTCTACACATTTTCATAAACAAATGTCAAAGAATGGTTAACTTTCATTGAGAAAGTATGCAAATATGTAAAAATCTACTTGTTTTTGCGTAGTTATCCTATGTTTACATTGGTTGTACGGCTCCACGTGCTGTCATCGAAGCCCAACGGAGAGCTAGCGACACGGTCACTTTGATGCATAAATATATATTGTCATGCAACTCACTGTCGCAGTTGTAGTAGCATATCTGTATAGTTATGCAAAACAATATGTAAAGCGCCCCCAACTACTTGCATTAGTCCTGTTCTATACTGATTTCTGAAAAAGCGCGTTTGTTTACAAACAAGAGAAAAGTCCGTTCACGTGATATGCAAATTAGCCTGTGGCAGTGGTGTTATGCTGAGTCACCACTGCGACGGAGTGTGCAATGTCTCAATCCCATTTTGAAAAGAAGCACCAAGATGTACAGTGGCGGGACCATCATCACAGGTCAAGGTCGACGATGTACATGCGCTTGCTTGGACTGTTTAATGCCCACTAGTCCCAGGTTACCGATAGCTATTGTTTTCCTCTTATAAGCTCTGAAACATTTAAGGTTTAAGACCGATACACAAAGTACGACTCAGCACTGTAGCTCACCAGAGCTTCCTCCATTCCACAACGATGTGTGTCGTAAATGTTCACGTGATAACCCATTTCTTCAAACTCATCTAAATAAGCTAATAAAGATTTGGGTTTGGTAAATAAAAATCGATCAGTTTCTTCTCTTTAACATGGCAGGCGACATGCCGTAATAGACAGAATACGTTAGAATGTGTATATAGTGGGAGCGGGTCACGTGCCGCAACCACGCTCACATGTCCAGCTCGCCGCTACCTATGTTTGGTCTCCAGTATTTGGTTTAGACTTTGTCTCGGGACAAGTCTCGCATCTGCTGTGTACAGAGGAGTCGGCATTGCTCTGGGTTGTCAAACATATAATCTTTAAGTGCAATGCATTAACCCAAAGGTACTTGAATAACTTGGTGTAAGATGGCTTTGCATTCAGGGCTTTGTGTTCTAACGGAAAAAAGTTCCCGTGCATCACTGACCATCACTGACCATCACTGACATCACTGACCATCACTGACATCACTGACATCACTGACCATCATGGAAGATAAAAACGACGCAAACAAAATACGATTTTCTAACAGATGAATTTATTGTTTGTTAACACAGCACAACAGCCAGAACAGTGATGGTCCAGTCTTCTCAATTGTTAGTTAAAGGATGTTCAAGATAATATAAAATAACAGATTTTGGTTGCATTTCCTTGTATGCTTTTAATATTACTCATTTGTTTTTTAAGTGTCAAGTTCACAGTGATTTTGTAGACCAATGAGACCGCCTCATCTATTTTGTTGCATATTCAGATGTATGCATAAAGATTCAGAGTGGTAAAACACTCTCCACAAGGCTGTATGAAAAGAGGGGTGACTTCAACTTTCCAATTGTCAACTTTCCCTTCATGTCGAGCAATATACCATCCGCTCCTGCCTTTGGCGTTTACATTTCACAACTTTACAATCGAGCATGCTCTTTCTACCAAAATTTCAAAGAGCGTCATACGACTCTTGCTCAGAAGTTGTTTGATCAAGGTTACAAGGTTACAACATTCTAACTTTCAAAAAGTATTATGGCAGACATGTTGAGGACATTTCCAAATTTGACGCATCAGTGACCAAAATATATGTCCGATGCAATTCCCTGTTTTGACTTGTACCATATGTTCCCGTGTATTTTCAGGTGAACAGTTGACTTGCCTTTGCATGTGTTTGTGACAGGTTCCACCGGTGGGGCAGAATACGCTCACCTTTTCGCGAACACTTGGTATCATGACTATGTGATAGTTATTCATATACACATGTTCATGATATAGTCGGAATAGTACAATCGACCCAGCCTTATGCAGAGATTTCTATTGGATATGGAAAGGGTTTTGTCGCTTTATTCAAATATTTTGACTATTTCTTTCTTGAAATGTTCGATAGTATTTCTGCTTGTCATATGTCATATTAGGTACTGTAATCTAAGGTGCATGTTTATAGCTGTGTTCGTGGTTTGAATCCAAGATTCGCTCCGATTATGATCGTGTGTTTACCTACCCGTGGGTTTCAACCAATGTCAAATTCGGCTTTCCTCACACACTGCTGGGTGTAACTGTTTGTGCTAAACCCACGCACTGACGTGCACATGACGTGTGATTGCATGAAGCTGAATGGTCGGCAGTGCTAGTATAAAACAGGCTCCCAGTGGGTCGGTATGGGACATTTGTAGCCAAACAATCTCATCAAAGGTGTTCGGCGTCGTAGAGACTTCACTTTCCGTGACTAGTAAGAGTAGTTGTCCCGGATAGTGAGAACAATATCTGGGATGTTCGGATGATTCATTGACAATTTGAAAAAAATCAGGTTTGGGGTAACTGATGACAGGAATGCACCGGTAGCGCAGGACATGCTTACCCTTTTCGCGAACACATGGTGTCAGCACTGATTGTCAGTCTTCCATTTTGACCACTATTTTGCCTTTTACGTGAGTGAGTGAGGGAGTGAGTTTGGTTTAACGCCGCTTTTAACATTATTCCAGTTATATCACGGCGTGTCAGCTTAATGTGGGAGGAAAGCCCGAAGTGATGCAGGTCTCAGACGTTTACCACTTCGGTGAACCCACGAGCACGGGTATGATGCTGACAAACCTAGAAACATAATTGGGGCGAACCGGGATTCGAACCCACAATCATAGGTTTCTGGCGTGCCCAAGGGACTTGTATGTTTCGGCAGATAACCGGGACTGATTATTCTCTGGCGTGGACGTTTTATATCAAAACGTTCAGATGTTAATATTCATGAGATTCATTTGAAAGTAGTGCTGTAAGATTGGAATTTTCATCAAGCCGTGTTACTTTCTCAAGGTGTGTTCCCGAACCACCCCTGTGTGTTCTCGCGGGAGGAGGTCCTGCTGCCGCATCCCAAGAACTGCCACTGGTACTTCAACTGCTCGCTCAACGCCAGCTCTGAAGTCTGGGTCTACCAGGAGCCGCTCACCGAGGAATGCCAGTACCCTCGTCTCTTCTCGCTCACTTCGAGAAAGTGCGAGAAATATGACACTGTTGATTGTGGTTCAAGAAACATCAAGAAAGAGCCATGTAAGTATATTAGACTTCACTTTTTCTGTTTCACGATTACGATTTTTGTTAAATCAAAAAATGAAAAAGTGTAGTGTTCAAATGTTGACAATGTCAACCGAATTTATTACGTAACTACTTATTGACTGATCTATTTATATATTCCTTTGGGTTTATTGTTAATCTAAGCTCCAATAGACAATAATTCTACATAAGCACGTGTTCCAAATATACGATTGCTATTGAATTATCTCCGACCAGGTTCCTTCGCGGTGCAGAGTTGTGTCCCCTAGGCGTGCCATAAACCTGTTAGCATGGGTTCGAATCCCGGTTCTCCCTAATTATATTTCTACGTTTGTTAGCACCATACCCGTGGTCTTGGGTTTCACCAAAGTAGTCACTTTGGGTCTGTGGGAACATCAAGCTGACACGCCATGATATTACTGAAATATTGTTTCAAAACGTCGTTAAACCCAACTCACTCTCCCATCGAAAAGTGGAATTAACTCAATTTAACAGAATACCTTTGGCAACTTTACAATACTATTTTTGCATGAATGAATAATGTATCTGATTTCTTAGGGTTAGGAAGGGTTACGTATTGTGGCAAACACATGGTTTACATGGATGCATCATTTTGTTATTTTCAATGAAATACTGAAAGACGATATTTCCGAATTAAGCCAACATTATGAAAAAAAAGGTTATCTGCTAAACATTAAGGCATCTAAGACATGATTGAATTTCTGTCTCTTGATATAGGTCTTCAGCAAACCATGCTTGCCGTAAAAGGCGACTACAGGGTGTTCAACCTCGCTGACAAGGTTCATGCATGTCATCGTATCCCAATTGCGCGGATCGATGCTCATGATGTCAATCACTGGATTGTCTGGTCCAGACTCGATTATTTTCAGACCGTCGTAGCTGGATTATTGCTGAGTGCGGCGTTAAACAACAAACAAACAAACAAACTTGATATAGCGTCTGTGGTGTGTGCAGTGTAGCAGTGCATGAGTTCGACACAATGTGTTTTGTTCACAGGCGAATACCGAAAGAATATGTGCACCAAGGCGCACTGTCGACCCTGCAACATACGATTCGGCAGCTGTGTTGGCAAGAAAAACGGCAACCACTCCTTCCCCCAGCGTGAGTGGACGCCCAGATACATCATCTGCAAGGACGAGAGAACGGTCGACCAGCGCGACTGCGCAGACAAAACCCCAATCTTCTCCCCAGCCAGCAAGCATTGCGAAGCACTCCACAACATCCCAAAGGAACATGGTGGGCTTCAACCAGCATGTACCGGCCGACACGACGGCTTTCATCCGGACGAAACCGGCCGATGTGATTACTTCTTTGAATGTCGCAACAACAAGTTCGTTGACTTCGCAACCTGTGGCAACGGTAGACTCTTTGATCCACGCAAACGCCAATGTAGTGACGACGCAGCCCCCCCTTGCGGCAACAATAGTGCCCTACTCTGCAGAGACCACCAAGACGGCATGTACGCCGATGCCTACGGCCGATGTCCCATGTACTACCATTGTAAAGGCGAGCGACTTTTGGGATACCTCAAGTGCCCGTTTGGTTCCTTCAGCCCCAAGACAGGTCAGTGCGAGATGTCCGAAGACCTCCCGGCTCCATGTGGCAAACAGGAAAACCTCTGCTTCAAGAAACCCGACGGTGCTTATCCCGATCTGAAAAAAAATTGTATGTCATACTTCCGCTGCAGCCGGAACTTCACAATTCTTATGAAGACATGCGCAGTTGGCTTTGTGTTCAATCATGTGACAGGGAAATGCGACGACGTTAACAACACACCACCTCCCTGTGGCATGGCTCCCAGCTGCTTCGGCCGGAAGGACGGACGCTACCCCTCCCCTCTCAAAGGATGCCAGTACTTCTACAAGTGCAGTGATGGTCTGTTCCGGGGATACGAGAAGTGTTCTCTGGCGACAGGAGGGTTCTACTTTAACCAATATTCGCAGAAATGTGACTTCCCCAAAAACATATGTGGTCCGTGTGGATTCAAGAAAATAGATTGGTAAGGCAATATCATTTTTATTATGCAAGATTCTTTTTAAAGCGCATATTTTTGTAAATTGTATGTTCCACTCGATCTATAATTGCTCTTGAATTATATTCATAGGAAAAGACTTAAATATATCCCCGTTATCAATGTTTATGTAGATATTTGAAGCAGTTTCAGGTGACATTCTCCTTATCATCTGTTTCAGCAGCGGTGGCAATAGATTCTCAGTATAATAATATGAGAAGATGGTTTGGCCGAGTGCAGTGTGCACGAGGAATTGATGCGAACAACAAAGACAATCTTCTTCTTGTAGAAGCACGTGACATAATCAAAAGAATGTTGCATTGATTCAATTCTTCAACTTCATATGTACTGCCTCGTTCCTCTCTGGCCAGTCACAAGTCACCACATCTTGGAAACGCCTTTGAAACCTCAGCATCACGTGATAGGGATGCTCGGCAGCTTCTCCCATACCTCAAGACGCCAGTATCCTGCTGTCATATCGATTGTCTTGTCAAACCAATTTCATTGTAATTTAGGTGTTGGACAAGGTTGCGTTTTAAGCCCCTCCCTATTTCAATTATTCATTTATGAATTGCACACACAATGGAACAAGAGCAGTTTACTTGAGTAAGCCATTATATAGAAATAGAAATAGAAACTCGTAGAAAATGCAACATCCCCAGTAAAGAAAGATTTTGCAGACTCTGTCAATTTGGCCTAATAGAAGACAAGTTTCATTTCCTGCTAGTGTGCCCTGCATATACTCACCTACGCCATCTCTATATTCCTTCAAAATGCTAGATTCACCCAAATGTCCATATGTGTAATATATCTTTATCTATTATGAATACAAAGCTCATGATAAGTATCGCGAAATACCTGTATTACAGTAAAGAAGAAAAGAACAGGTATTTCATCACTGTGACTGTCGATGTAAATATGTCATACATGTTGTACAAAGAGCCTGCGTCCTGTATAGTACTGACTAAAAATTAGAATGAGATACGTCTTCGATAAACGTATGTCTGTGTGTGACAGTATGTTCGTGTGACTGTGTGTGTGTGTGTGAGTGTGTGTGTGTGTGTGTGTGTGTGTGTGTGTGTGTGTGTGTGTGTGTGTGTGTGTGTGTGAGAGAGATTGTGTGTGAGATTGTGTGTACTTCATCAAATGTGTGTTCAGTCACGTGTTTGTCATATGACTCCAGCGAGTCTATAACCCACCATGTTGTATTCATCCATTGTACACAGGTGTAAATATTTATGTATATACAACACTGATCAGTTTGTAAATATGTGTAAATAAATGCTGTACATAAAATAAATAATGTTAACATGAACTACGCCATTTTTGTTTTTAGTTCCTCTTCGCCAAATAATTTAGTGTCACACATAACGGCTTGAAGCATTCAATGGCATAGCTATAAGTGTTTCCCTGGTCATGAAGGATGTAACATCCGGACAACGGCATACGATCCCTGCAGCATTGCAACCATGGCGATCTTGTAAGACGCGTATACCGTGCAAACAATATTGATCTTTCTTCAAGATTCTAAAGGGCTTCAGTCTCGGGTTACCTATAAATCAATCAAGTTGATTGATATGGATGTAACGCCACTTTGAGCAGTAGTTCCGTTACAACAGAGTACCAGCTGGTCGTACGTGGTAGCCGTTTACCCATTTCATTACAGCCACGAGCATGGGCGTGAACCTGACACACTGAGGATCATAATCAGGGCGAATCGGGTATTCGAACCCACGATCATCGGATCTTGCCCCATCTTAGGGACGCAACTACGCAAGGTGAAATCCAGCTCGTTAGACAACTGCCTTCTTTCTGGAATCAAGTTGAAACTAAACTGTTATAAGAAAGGTCACAAGGGAATATGAGTTGGCTTTGCGCTATTAACATGTGTCCGTTGCTGTCCTGTGAGGATGGCTTAACACGGTATAACATCTTTTCTCCTAGGGCGGTCGGGTAGCCTGGTGGTTAAAGCGTTCGCTCGTCACGCCGAAGACCCAGGTTCGATTCCCGACATGGGTACAATGTGTGAAGCCCATTTCTGGTGTCCCCCGCCGTGATATTGCTGGAATATTGCTAAAAACGGCATAAAACCGTACTCATTCACTCTCTTCTCCTAAACTTAGCAAAGAGAAGCCGATCCCCGCACAAATTACAATTTCAAGATATTTTTATTGGAATGTAAGGCGAAAATGCGTAAAGATGTCAGATGAGTTATCAGCTAACCATATGCTTGTAGCGTTGATCCGTGTCTGACTGATATATATCACTGGCAACAGATGAGACTGGGCGTTTAGATTAATTAAATTATTTTAAGTATATTTTGTTATTTCTACTTGAGTTTTGAAAAATCTAAAAATGCGTTATCACGGCGTAAGAGTGCATGAGCCGGGTTTTACGTTGCATTATTCCAGTATTGCCTTTCACACATTGTACTCATGTGGGGAATCGATCCCGGTCCTTCAGTGTGACAAGTGACCACTGTAACCACTAGACTAACCCACAGCCCTCACGCAAGCGTTACAACATGGTAAAAATACTTACATGACTGTCAGATAATAGTTTAACAAGTAGATCACAAAGGTGACGCTACGCAAGTTCAACCTGGACCCAGCATCCATCCATTTACTGTAAAGCGTGACATACACATACGGTAATAATGCAAGTGAGAGTACGACAGGCAAATTTCCCACATCATTAAATTTATTGCTCAAATGCGCTTAGACCCTGATTGGTCTAGCCAAAGGCTCTTTTGAAGAGACAGGTTTTAAGAGTCTTTTTAAGATTGTCAGATTTTCTGTTTCTCGAATTTCTTGTAGCAGATTATTCCATACCAATGGGCCAGCATGTTGAAACTACCTATCGCCTTATGTTTTGGAACTGACTTTGGTACCACAAGCAAATGTTGATCTTTTGACCGTGGGGAACGTGCAGGCTTGTATGGTACTCTCAGTTCCTGTAAATTGCACTCTGTGTTGGATTGACAGCCAGTGTAGTTCAGTACATATTGGAGTGATGTGTTCTCGCTAAGGTGCTCTTGTCAGCTGTATTATGAACACGCTGTAGTAATTTCGTCTCAACATTCTTTCATCGTATTTACTTGGCCACACACTGCATCATTTCTACTCAGCTTCCTACACATATATGATTTTGATACACTAATGCCGCAATTTAAAGAATCGAGTAATGTACACGTACATATATACAGAAATCCAGCCAGACCTACCTCGTGTTACCGGCTGAAAGTACTCCCCTGGTAAATTCATGGTGACTAGAGAAAAAAGATAAGTGAATTCTACTAACGGAATTAGTAACAGCGGCCAGAAGGTTAGTAATCAACAAATGTACTATTCTGCCTGGTAGTGTGCACGAAGATGCTGAAGATTAGTAAGAATCACTTAAACCCCACTGTAAAACATGTGTTACGAATGTAAACACATGCAAAAAATGTTGAAGAATATGTTTCAATCCTAAGCAGTACGCACATTTGTCTCTGCAGGTGGTAGCGTGATGGAATTCAAATGAGAAGTTGCAGGTTCGCATCTTACAGAGGTTTTTTGTTTTTTGTTCATCAATGTGTTGTTGCTGTATGTCTAAAAGTATTTCTCTTATACAGGAAGCTGACAATGAAAGTATGTATGATTACAACTTAACTTTTTTTTAGTCAGTGACGACAGACCACCTAGTAAAAAGATATTAACTGATTTTTAAAGTCTGCTCACAGTGTCTGAGCGGACAGTGTAATTCACTAAGTAAACTTTACAAACTATTTCTGTGTGTGCGCGGTGTGTATATTTTTATGATGGCAAAGGTAAAGCATTTGGAAAAGATTAAAATAGAATATTAAGTAATACGATGTTACAGAAACGGGCAGTGAATAAACAAGACAGTTCAATCACTAAACATTCATTATTCACAGCAAATATAAGGGACAGGAGACCCATGAAAAATATTCTCCATGTATTCATACCACATATATGTTTGTCTGACTGTTTAACGAAGCCACAGTATTCCAGCTATATGACGGCGGTCTGTAAATTATCGAGTCTGGACCAGACAATCTAGTCATTGACATCATGAGCATTGCTCTACGCAATTGGGATACGATTAAATGCATCTTACAAGTCGGAAAGCCTGGGTTGATGAAGACCAATTCTATACCCGGGGCTTCAAAGTGTATCATATAATGTTGAGTAATAAAAGCCTTGTAGTATATCGGTAATGTATGTGGGGTGAGGTGAAATGGGGTTTGACGTCGCGTCCAAGATGTTTGTACTTATTTAGCGACGTGCATGCAAGTGTGTGTGTGGCTGCTTGTACTAGCCCGGACTGAAGCCGATTTATTGTGCCAGCCCACTGAGATACCATACCGCAGTGTAACATGAATACCCCATTCAGACACAGTATACCGACTCCGAGCCGACCAGTCGTTGTTTTAGCAACTTAATGCCGAGCGCCAGACAGGGTTACAACTAGACTAACACTTTGTCAATGGAACATGTCTTTAAAATAATAAAAATATTTTCCCGAAAGAACCTTTCCTCTTCTGCTGTTTTCTGCTGTGGAATCAAGCAAGCTAGACTTGGTTAGTTTGATCTAGACTTGCCTAGGCTTTTAGTTAAAAAAATACCTAAGAAATATAAATTCCACAGTCATGGTGCAGGACTAGGTTACAACCAGTACCATGTTTTAACGTCTCTAAGTATGATCCGGCCGGGATTGAACCTCGCTCTCCTGGCGGCCGCTCTACCACTAGACCACGGAGGCGGTCTGTAATGTGTGTGAGAAGGACGCCTGTCCACAAAGTCCCGTGATGATGCAGGTGAACATGGGTGTGAGTTTGGTATTCTAAAGGTGTTCTGTCCACATAACATTGAAACAGTTTTAGGCATTTAACGGAAATAATCTTTGTTCAAATTCTTATCAATTGTAGCACAATAATATTACCATATAAATGGTGTAGCGCAATGATGCAATATAGCGCAATATACACTTTAATATTATTATTATTATTATTATTATTATTTTTATTATTATTATTAAAAAAAGTTTCCATTTCATAGGACGGTGGGATAGCCAAGTGGTTAAGCGTTAGTTTGTCACGCCGAAGCCCCGAATTCGATTCCCCACAAGATAAATTGTGTGAAGCCCATTCCTGGTGTACCGCGCCGTGATACACACGCTCATAACCAGTTAGCAATATGTTGGCACATGGATGCATAACTGGTTAGAAGTCATGCAATTCATCTGTTTCCGATTAGGTATAATTTGAAACAAATATCAAATCACTATGGCTAACTTCGGGTTTACTGTGAACTCTCCAATGTGAAAAGGGTCGGCCGTTTAAAAAGATAGTTAGACCTGTGTTGGTCCCGTGTGAAATGTGATGACAAAGCACAAATCTATTGCCAACAATTCTTTATCAGTGCAGCTGATACAAATAGGCTGTTAAAATAAATATAAACAACCTCTCGCGAGATAGTACAGACCCTGTGGGTCGGTGTAAATTTGCGAATTACTCAAGTCAACAGAGCAGGGAGGCCAGCCCGCCGCACCTTGTGTTAGCGCCGCCTACAGCAGCGTGGTCAAGTGTTAGTGTTGGCACATTCACATTTAATATTTACTGTCTCTACAATCACGCTCAGGAAATCGTTTTGCACTAGCTTGTCGGTGCATGCTGTTTGCGTCGGTGCAGCGCCGACGTATGCAGTGTTGTTGTTGTTGTTGTTGTTTGTTGTTTAACGCCGCACTCAGCAATATTCCATCTTTATCAAGGCGGTTTGTAAGTAATCGAGTCTGGACCAGAAATTCAGTGATTGGCATCATGAGCATCTACGCTATTGGGATACGAAGACATGCAGCAACCAAGTCAGCCAACCTGCCCACCCGATCCCGTTGGTCGCCTCTTACGACAAGCATAGTCGCCTTTTACGACAAGCATGGGTTGCTGAAGACCTATTCTACCCCGGATCTTCACGGGGGGAGACAAGCATGGGTTTCTGAAGACCTATTCTAACCCGGATCGTCGCGGGTCACAAATGTAGTGGAAACTGTAGTGAGTGAGTGTGATTTTACGCCACTTTTTGTCAAATAAATGGGCTCCATTTATATTCACTTGAAGACTTCAAGTGATATTAGATTGGATCGATGCACAAACCAAAATACTAGTATGTTGTGTGAATGTATGCTCATAAACGCATCACATGTGACGTCATAGATCCATGACTCGAGATGCAGCATTTGTCTGTTGTGCAGGATTAGCGTGTCAAGTTGGAAATCACGT